CTAAATTTTAAACAATTATTTTCTCAGAAACGACTCCCCCCACGTATGTAGCAAAGAACGATAAAGAAAGTGGCGCTGGTCTTATTTTTGTCGCACTCAGTATTTTCGTAAGTTGGAAAAAATTCGCATTTTCTACGCTTTGTTTGAGATGGTGACACACTGGTTATAGATTGTCTGGTGACACATTGCTCTCTGATTGCCAAGCTGAAAATAATTGACACAACTGTTATTTATGTAAAATAGTAAATGATAAGTAACGTACTATCATAGTCGTAAAATTATTATATTGTGCTTAACGTTGACTTTGTTTAATGGATACGAAAACACTAGCATTAGAAACTTTTGTAGTATTTGCTACAAATTTACACGTTCATTTAAATGTACACTATGTGAAACGACAAGCTAGAAGTGACCAGTATTTAAAATTGCCGTATCTGCAAATTTGTTTATAATGATACTTGTTCATTTACTATTTCATGATATTTTAACTATTTAAAACCAAACGTACGAAGTTGGAACAGTTTTTGGAGGCGAGTTGGCAGCAAAAATAAAACTTTTTAGCGGACTTTGTTGCTACCAAGCTCTCTCGCGACAATGACTTCTTTTGACGTGTTATCATTTCGCTCAATGGCAACACAGTGGTTTCGGCCATCTCAAGACAAAGACGAAGACAAAACTCCAAATATACAGGACTTTTATAAAACCAATTCTAAACTACAACTGCGAAACGTGGGCGATGACTACAAAAACAAACTACAACAAACTGACTAGAACTGAAAATCGATTTATCAGAATAGCCTTCCGACCGCCACCTATGACTAATTACTCACGACTAAAACACAAAATCAACCTGACACCTATTGACCAAGACATCTACGAAACTGCGACCAAAAACATTCAAAAAGCCTTGCAAAACCCACACTTCCGACAATTTCTACTGCCCCACACCAACGTCTTACGCAACCCCTCGAAAAACATTCGACGCTACCGACACCCACTAGACATTCTCCAACTCCCTCCCCAATAACAATAGTAAACAAAATACCCTCCTAAATTGGAACAAACCTCCCAAAGCTCAATAAACACAAATTCAACCCTCTCAACCATTCCCATCCCTCCCTTTCCTCTCCTCTGCAAACAACAGCTTGTCTGGGGCACGCAGAGGAATCCTTTCCCCCTCCCAGCCTCACACCCACAACATTACCCCACCAACACCCAACGTACCCCTACCTCTTATTCACCCTACGCAGGGAAGAGCGCTCAGCGCAGGCCCTCGAAGAAAACGTCTCCAAACACGAGAGTGGTTTCAGGATTCTTCTAACTCATCCCGTTGTAGAGGTGCCACCTCTTCGAGTTTTAATTATAATCTCTGGGCTTACTCCTATTTTCTGTGGGTTATTTCACTATTACAGAGATGACGTTACTTTATAAAAAACACCGAAAATACTTATGAAATATTTCTTTCTCCTTCCATATTAACAACAATGAAACAAAAAGATACATATTCACAAGAACTATTGACTTTCAAAAACATTATTGTTCATATTATAACAATTTTGTACATTTGTGTGTCATATATTTTCCTAATCATATAAAAGGTGAAATTTCAGTTCATCTTGAACTGGTGTGATTTTTTAAGGCGTTTAAGATCACTATAAATACATTTATTTTAATTTATTAATAATATTTATATAAATATTCAAATATGTTTGTTAGATTTGTTATGAATAAAATTTACAGTTTGACTGTTAGATTGTAACAGGTTGATATATAAATATTAAATATCCAGGTAATATTTCAAACAATTAATACAAACAGATTTTTGCCCCACCCCGCTTGTTGCAGAATATAAATTCTGCGGGTGACAAGCTTCAGACAGGTGGGAACTCTATCCCATTGTTGTCGGTCGTGATGACCATATGATGTAAGATGATGCATGATTATAAATAATATTCTTATGACAGAAAATAAATTGAAGGAAGGTAATAAGTATAACTTGGAACAAATAAATACACTTCTTTACTGTAAGAAGTTTTGATTGTTCATTCGGACGATGAAAGCTCTCTTCGATGTAATCAAAGCAGGCTTGGGTGAAATTATTATTGCTTTTCTAGATTATGTTCTGCAAATACTGTAACAGTTATATTTATTTCTGTTTGTTTCATTTGCAAAAGCCGAAAATTATTGCTGCTCTTGACTATCGAAATGAATGCTTCACAGGCGCTTTGTTTGAATTGGACATTTTCAAGTAATAGCTAGTGTTGGTAATGCAGAAATATCTAGGGTATATTTCAGTATTACGTAACTTCTTTCCAATAGTGCGAGATAAAACCAGTAGAACAACTAATTTTCCTTCATAAAATTGGTTGCTGAAAAACAGATCATGAAGCAATATCATGTATAAATTTTTAAAAATGTATGTAGTATTCACATAGTTTTGTGTAAAATATAGGGAGTTTTAATTTTTTTAAAAGAATTTTCCCAAAGTCACCAATATTTTTCTTTAAATATTGTCTTAGTATGTATTAAACGATGTAAGAAATGGGAACTACAATCATTTCCAGAGAACTCTCAACTTTCGAAAATTTCAAAATTTTGGCATTTAAAGATTGCAAAATTGAAGATAGATATTTTTGCTTGAACAAAACGTGTTCTAAAAACTCAGATCCTTAATCTGAGTAAATCTGGATGGACAATTAAAGAATTCATTTCCTATGCAAGTAGGATATTAAATGGTGGAGGGTAAAATTCAATTTCTATTATATTCATATACCAACATCCTTTATTAACATTTCAAACAAAAAGCTTACATCCATTAATATTACACATATGCTTAACTCACCATTGTAAATAATTTGCATTCTGTCAGTCAACCAGATCTTGCATTTATAGAAACAATGTTAACATAATTCATGACAAGTACACACACAGGAAGCTGTAACTGTATGTTATATAGGACTGCTCTGTGATATACGCAGTTTGTTTTCATGCCATTTTGAATGCAAGAATTCAGAAACGGGCTAAAAAATAGCATGAGCTGAAAGTGATGCTCAAATTAAGTACTTGTTTTAACACACTGATTTGTATGAAAATTGCATACTAGAGGCTGCACAATTACTGAGGATGTGTTAATGTATAAATCTGTATCACAGCTTGTAGCTTTCAAGAAGCATTTGGTGTTGCTTCCCATTGTAATGACAAAATTAACTACAATTAAATCACCTGTGCATTATATTTTCTATGTTGTGTATTCTAAGATCAAAATTTAACTAGACTGTCAATGTAAATCAGTCTGAATAGATTATGACTGGGAAGAAAGATTTTTACAAACAATCCACTTGCAAGAAGTCTAATTTTTCTCACATTATGAAGAAAGAAAATTTTCCACATTCAACACATTCAGTATTGGAAATTTGGTAAAATTACTTCATATTAGAACATCAAGATATATACATTACAGACATATTCATGAATTATTGCATTTGAAACCCATCATTGATGTATAATTATTTCCATTAATAAATGTTATCCAATAATACCAGTTATCAAATGCAAATTTTCATGACATTTGCTACAAATGAAAATGCTCACTGATGCCACCAGATTATGCACGATGCAAAGACTGTTTTTCAACAATTATCAGAGAACAAAATGCTATGTCCACATTTGTTTAAAAATAATATTCCTCCTATGTGTGCACAAAATACATTAAATCATGAAAACATCAAATTAATGACACACAACCACACAGAGGCAAATCAGTTTACAAACATGATATATAATATGTACATCTAACACTCCACAAACAATTCACGTGAGTTTATAACTTGAACATCTTAACACACACATTCACACTCATCCCAGACACACATACATACATGTGTGAGCAACACACACAATAATTATTGATCTTGAGATTTTATTCAGTATGTGATTAATTTTGATTATTAGAGAAAGAGCAATTCAGTTATTGTTACAACGAAAACGACGTTTTCATTAAAGGGTCCTAAGAATGTGATACTGTCATTTCCAGAAACAAAATTCAGCAAGAATACTAATATGTGAACTTTACTACAAAAATGAAATGAATGTCAACTGAACAGAAAATATCTGTATGAAGAAAATCCACTACAACTTGATTAAATGACAACAATCACTACTATTCAACTTTCCAATTGTGAAGAAGGTACTCCTGGAACACCATTGACTAAATCACAGATTATTCAAGAAAATTACATATTGCAAACTGCAATAAGTTAAGACAACCTTTTTTCAGCACAGGGAGAGAAAAAAAGCAAAATGAAAGGAAAAAAAACCACTGTTTTTTACTAATGGTGGGGTGGATTAATCATTTGGTAATTTGCCTAGAAAAGGCAATTGAAATTTTAAAAAAGAATTCTGTATTGTAATTCAGTTGCTTAGCCATTCATAGGATGGGACACACCTCCATTGTCTTCAAACCATAAGTTCTCTTTAAGTATATTTAAAAGTTTTTCAGATTATTTGTAATGTAATGAAGAAATAAGTTAATTTAATGTTCAACATTCTGTTTCTCTGAATTTTCTCTTTATTATTAAATTTTTCCTTCTTTACATCACATTTTCTGAGAGTTAAAACAGTTTTTACAAGAGTATTCATATTTGTACCAAATTAACTTTTAAGTTATGATAGAATATGTCAAATTGATTAATAGAATAACAAATAAAGAAGACAAAAAATATGCAATTAAATTCTCATAAAATTAATCTCTCATATGGCAGTATAGCTCTGAAGAAGGCCACAGCAAGATGGCTTGTCAGTACAATTGGCCAAGACGCGGCTCATCCTGGATAGTCAAGAATGCATTGACTCCAGCTGCAGAAGTCTATAAACCCATAAAAAAACGAATGCATTTGGGCGATTTTGACATGGTCCAGCCCATATTCCCTTGTGGATAAATCATACCAGGGAACTGAGGATGTAGCTGCACTTAACATACAAAACAACCAAACATAATTGTTTGGTTCTTATACCACTCGTAAATTAACTGTCACATACTTATGACAAAATCTCATGATGGAGAAATAATATTAGGGCATTTAAGTACAGCAGTCAACAGCAATATCAATTTTCTGCACATGCACACTTTGGGTTGCACATCACATGAGCATCTGTACATGCACAGGTCAAGATTGTTGTGAATTGCTACACATTACCCTGTGCTTAAGCTCCCCTTTAAGTATTGAAATGTATTAAGGCATTCTGAATCCCAGCACAAATAATTACAAGCCAGGATTTTTATTCACAAATTTCAATTTCATTATATTAACAATGAAAACAAAAAGAGCACCTCAGAGCTTATATTCATTTCAAGCATAGAAAAGAGTACCAATTGCTTCTGAAATGACCATCCTTTAGGATTTTTGTTACGCTCTAGCAACTAAGTAGTGGACCATTAATGCACGGTTTCATTAATATTCTTCTAAAATGTACATGTTGCACAAATGTCAGTTTCATTAACTCATATTCGCACATTTGTAGTATGTTCGGAAGTTCCAATTATAAGGTGCCTTCAAAACATTATGTATGTCCTTCATTTAAGATATGAGCATTTTGGCAATGACTAGTACGCAAGAAGAATAATTTTTAATGATCCTTTCAATTTATACAATGTCATTATTTTCAATCATTCCAGCAGTTTCTATAATTTAAATGACTGTAGAGCTCTTTTCGCAGTGTGTTGTGATACAACTGACATGTATAGATGATGGTGCAGTCTGACAAAATCAGTAAGTTTCTAATCTTCATGAAGCTTGAAGGACTTGCCAAATTTTACAGCTTTTGCCATCACATCAAATTAAGGTAGTAACTAAATTTCCACTTAGAGCACAAAAAATGAAGGTTTGAACTAAGTGAGCAAAAAAGAAAAAAGTAGTATTGCCCAAATCTGAGTGACTGCATGCATAACAGCCAAGGGTCATTCATATTCACAGGGTATTTCCTGATATAAAGGGCCATCTTTCTCCACAATTGTTTTGTCAAAATGAGATAGGAATCAGAGCTAAAGAGGAGTCACAAAACTTCTATGATGGCTATCAATTAAGCCAAAAGAAGCCTCTGATGTGACTGCCTAGAATGCACTATGTCATTTCTGGCATAATTTTAGCATTAGTTATTAATTTAACAGTTAAAAAATAGTAACTGAATACTATCCTACAACAACTAAATATTATGAAAGAAGTATTGATTGTTTTTCTACATGCATTAAGATTGCATGTAGAAAACACCCACATGCAATAGATTCCTCTGCACACACAGCAAATCCTACAGACTTAGGATTGAATGTCAAACCCATATTACAAATGGCCGAATGAAATAAAACATTAAAAGTTAAGCACATCTTCACTGACATTCAATTATATCATAACAGTCTTCTGGCTCAATGCATTTCAGAATATACACAAATACACTACATTAAAAAACTACTGAATATTACCAATTTTTATTCCACCCTCTAATTGAGTTATTACAAAAAAACTTACAGCAAAAACAAAAATTAATAAAAAATACCCAAAACTTTAGTTTGAACTTTTTGGCGATTTTGGGAGTCTACACAAAGAAACTTGAGGTATGCAACATTCTTTTGAACAGTTGCATTTAATGCCCAATGACTAGTTCATCAAAAATGATGACACTATATACTAACTTTACTTTAAATATCAATATACTAATCACATATTTGTACAAAAATAAAAACTCAAGAATTTTTTAAACCTGACCTTTTACAACTATAATTATGTATTCACCCATCTGTTCCAACTCTATCTCAACTTTTGTTACTAAAAAGACAAATAAACAACATTCCATCTTTGTTTTTTGCATTTCTTAATGTCTTGAGTCAAGAAAAGTGTATTGAAAGTTGACTTAAAACATAAGTAAGATAAAATAAACAGTTAATATCAAAATAATCACAGATAATATTCAATTATTAAATGGTTACAAAGAGTATTACTACGATTACAATACATGATTTGAAATATGATTGTAAATACTCATGTAGGGAGAAAAACTTCATCCATCTTTTCCAAGTAACCACCATGCTTCAGTAACTCGAGATAATAGACACCATCAGAACCTTCAAATGGCTGTGTAACTATATTTGCAAAATAATCATTCTTGCTGGAACTGCTCTTATTACATTTCCCTTACAACTAGCGAGGATGCATCCTATAGGCATTATTTTTAATCATTAATGCATCAAAAATATAATTGATTAATAAAAATAGAAGGACTCCAGTTCTTCCTCTTCATATCATTACTGAGATTACACTAAAATTAACTGTCTTAGTCACACAGTTCCTCTCAACAAATAATCTACAAAATCATTCATGAACTTGCTGGCTACACATGCTTCCAATAAATTTAATTACTTCATACGCTTAGTTTTATGTTTCAAGACATCTTCACTCATGTTGAGGTGGTGTGCAAGATACGTAAGACAGTATTTAAATATCAATGAAGCTACATTTTTATATTTTCTTAAGTTTAAATAATAAGTCTTGTAACAAATGTGCAACTGAAAATAAAGAAAAAAATTAATTTTTGAGATGTGGTCCCTTAGACACAAAAATGTCTACAACTATAAAAGAAATAGTAATAGCATCCTCTCATGCAGATGTCTTAGTAGGCACTTGTCTAACCAGGTCTTTCTTTGCAAGTCATTGTTTGAAGGCATCAATATTAGTAATAAGGGCACTCTGGATTACATACTGTATAAAGTAATGTGTGGAAAACTCCACTAATCATGACAATGTACATAACAACTCGTGCAATGTTTTTGTTTAAAAGTGTCAAATGCTCTATATTAATTACGTTACCACACATAGGTACAATTAGAAATTTATAACATGCAACACTGACCTTTGATTCTACAATACATTTGCCTGCATTTATTTGTTAAACAAAAACACTGTTCTAACAGTCTACAAATATTGTTGGCACTTACAAAACTTGTCCTTTTACAATATTTCATAGCAAAAGTGACAGAGTAAAAGGGATGTTACTATAACAGGTCTTTAGTTTATCTTGCAACCCATGACTTCTTCTTGTTTTGGCAAATTGGCAACTGCATCTTTGCCTCCTTTCAAAACAACCATTACACATGAGTCAGGTCATTAAGGTCATTAATATCATCAACCCTGACACATTATGAGAGCAGAGGAGGGTGTGAGTGTCAGGTCATTAAGCTACAGCAACTTTTTTCTTTTCTTATTCAAGGGCACATATGTATGTCACATGCCAGAAACTTTTCACTCTGCATAGGGTGGGTGGGATAGGCAGAGACTTGAGCAGGCAAACAAAACATCTCTTCAGGCAATTCTGCTCACTATGCTTAAGAAACAAAACAGTAATACTGAAGATGTGGAGGGAAGTTATGACTAATTTATTAACAAAAACAACATTATAATTATTATTTAAGGAAAGCCAGCTCAGAGAGAAATCAGTAAGATATCTTGTGCAACATTACCGCCGTGCTCTCCATTATTTATAACAATAATAATAAATTATTATTATGGAACCTAAAAATTAAACACAAAAAAACTTTAAGAGCTTTCTCTCTCCAACTGAACTTAGCCAAATTCACCCAACCCAAAATTTGGGGGACCACGGTTGGAGGTCGCTAAAAGTCAAAGGGATGTAGAAGGTATTTCACACCTTGTCAAATTGCCAAAACCAGAGGAAGTGTTCCCAGACATGGGTTGGAGTTAAACTAAACAACAAACTTTAAAAATAGTTACTATAAAAACAAGATAAAATAGTTTTAGCTGCATCAAATTAACCGCACAATCTTCAACACAAATAATTAAATAATGAAGAATATCATCTGAAAACTAATTCACACATGAGAAGATTAATATTTTAACTTTCTTTAAGAACAATATTAATTAAAGATTTGCCATTTAAAGATTTCAGTTTTATATCTAGGTAATGCTTTTCTATTATCAGGTTTCAAAAGAAAAGTATTTTGATACACAAAAGCAATATTGCAACCTATGTACAAATATGTTTTATTACAATAGGGACTAGCATTCAGCAATATCTATGCTGCTTTTGAGCATCTGTGCATGCACAAATTGAACTGTGTATGCAGAGGCCTAGATTGTTCTCAATTGTAGCAAAAAGTCTCCAATAAGATTATTATGAGCCCATTTAAAGCTAATGCCCTTCCTATTATGAACTGTATTCATAGAACACTTCAGTAAATGTATAAATACATCACTTTTACATTAGAGTAAATTCCAAAATCTCAAATCAAAGTCATTTGAACAAACTACTAGGATATTACCAAGTAATTATATTAGAACTGTTTTGTACATAGGAAATGATAACTACTTCTTACATACATACACCGATAACCATTTTTGATTTCGGTTTATTTTAGATCAACTCACAAAATAACTTTTTTGAAAATCTGGAAGTTCCCTTAATTTCTGCTCTCTTGCGTACTTGTATATTGCAATATACACTTATTTGATACTACTGAACATTGAGAAGTTCAAGTTAACTACTTTATTCTACATTTTTGCGTTTTGAAATTGTAAAATGTTTTTGGACTCTTATCAGCACACTTTTTAGAATACTTAAAATTTCTTTGGTGCATCATAAAGGCAAATTGTATTAACTACAGATAAATGTTCAAAAAACAATAATATAGGCATACATCAGCATTATAACAGCTCATATTTTTAAGAATACTGCAACACCAATTCACCACATTTAATATTTAAAAGACATACTACTGGGAATAACCGTGGAGTACATTCATGGAATATGTTGCAACAAAACTTCTCAATACAGGCATTGATCTGTTTGGAAGTGCACAAGCAATAAAGAAGTATTTGTCTACAAGACTAGTAACATTTTACAAATCATTATGCAGGTGACTTCCTGATAAGGCTTTAGCCTTTCTTTTGAAACCCTTTTCAAGGAGCAGTTGACAGCATTCTTCACGACTTCTGCATCGAAAAGGATGTCTTTCCAACTCCTAAAAAAAAAATTATGAAATAATTATACTGAATTATAATAACTTTTTTTTATAGGAAAAGGCAGAATATTGCCCCCAAATGTCTCCCCCCTCTTAAAGTTCTTGGCTACTCAAAACTTCATGACAAATCACAAAAAAATGTGTTTCCTATTTTCTAGTACTTTTTAAATAATTTCATTTGTACTAATAGATTCTTCAATCAGTTTTTATCTAACATTTTAAGTTTTAGAGATGTTTTTCTATTTTTTTGCACCATTGCATAAATACCATGCACATCTTTGTGTTACCAGCAGCTAGAAACTTCAAACTTTGAAGGACATTTTTAAAGATTTGAATTTACATGCACCTCCATAAAGCAAAATCATGATAGGACTCCAGAATCAGGAAATAGATATTACAATATGTTCTTTGTTTTAAAATAAAAACTCCCCATCCCGCAAAAATGAGGGCATTACATTAAACTGCTTGTGAAAAAAGTCTTATTAAAAAATATTTACATACAAATTAATAGAAAAGAGCATGCAATACAACCAAGAAGTTAACTAAATGGCTACTTTTGAGGTTTACATAATAGAATACAAATGAAGCATTCTAGAAAAAATATAAAACATGTACAGATTGATGTAAAATAAAATGTTTTCAGAAAAGTTACTTTCATCTCAACATAAACGGTTTATTTATGAAATTACAATGCTTGTTTTTGCTTTTCAAAGGCCAGCTTATGACACCTCAAATGAGAGAATTAAGAGCCTAAAATCCATTGCCTAATCGGAATATCAGAAAACAAAAAGGGCATGTGTTTGGCAGTATTCAGCATTATTGGTACACATACTATTAGACTGAATACATAACCACTTGCAGGAATAAAGAGCCTTCAAGAAAAATATAGTTCTTCAGGCTGGTTTACAGATATTAATTATCAGAAAAAACTTCATATATACATCAAACTTCAGTCAGTACTCTTACAGTTTTATGTGAAATTACCAGTTCAGCACGTGAAGTTTTTTAATCAGCAATATTAAATTGTTGCAAGTTTCATAACTAAAAATGAATTTCAATACTAAGACCTATTACGGGGAGGGGGGAGTCATATCCCCTGTGCAGTTGGCCTGGTTCCATCAGATGTTGTCTCAATCTCTCCTACAGTCTTCACTTTCTTCTGCCTTTTGGTTGGTTAGTTGTTCAATTGATTAACGATTCCAAGAACATCAATTGCTAAGGCCATTGGGACCCTAAGTGAAGTGCAAGTTTTATCGCAGAAGGTGGCAGTGATCCTCAGCTGGATGGCGAGATCTGGCACCGATGTACCCAATATCTTATGGGTTTTCACCAACCAAGTATCTCCCATCAGCAGGGCACCACTTCAGCCAGGACAAGCTCTAAGCTCCCCACTGATCTCCTGGCATTGCAGTAGTGTAGTACATAAAAGTTCAAGAGTGTGTATGGAGAGAAAATCTGACACAGAAGGAAAGATCATGCACGATCCAGGGCTCGTTTGCTAAGGTACTGCTCCTTCATTCACCTGGTGTTGATCAGAGTAGCCAGAAAGAATTCTCCTCCAGACAGCAGCTGAATTCGACCTAGCTATGTAGCTAATGTCAAAAATCCTGTCAGTCAAGACTGGAATCCTGAATTCCTTGAAAACAGTCCTGCTTCCAGTATAAGTGTGTGTGTGTGTGTGTATGTATGTGTATGTGTATATATATATATATATATATATATATATATATATATATATATATATATATATATATATATTCAATACTAGTGATTTTATTATTTTGGTGTATGAAAGGAACATGAGAATTGTACCTTATGATAAAAATTTGTAGCCTTCTGTTAATTAAAAACAATGACAAAATGAGCGAAAAAAAAGTTTTTCTTACCTGGTCATACTTGTCATAGAGAACCAATTCTGGCAGCAGTCCTGGAACTTGCTTAAAAGCAACATCTTCACTGATGATCAAAGTCAAGAAGCAACCTACACATCTTTGAAATTAATTTTAGCAATTATAGGTTTAGTACACTTTTTCTAAAGAATTCTCATTAGATTCCAGTAACTATTCATGAACATCTGTAAAAGACTGATATAAATCATAAGTAGAAGCTTCTGCAATATTAGTTTGTGTTTCAGCTGCAGGGGCCCATACCCCTTTTGATTTCCACACTTTCCATTTCGTTTGAGTTTCTGCATTTTTTTTGTATCGGTGACGACCTTCTCCTACAGTAAGGTAATCATACTGAGCATTATCCTTCTTTATCAATTCTGCTTCTTCAGAACCTTCCAAAGCAGTTAAACTAGGTCTATCCAAAAGGAAAAAAGTCTGAGTTTCTCTTAATGAGAGAATTATTTTTGCTGGATGCAAAGGTTTGGTTTCTAAGAGTTCCAGAAGCCGTTCTTGGGTAATTTTCAGTGGAATTATTTCTTCTTTGGGAGATGGAGTACGGAATCGCCCATGAAATTTTTCCATTACATCCTCACTGTACGGCATTTCAATATACCCTAGATCTCTTGGACTTGTCAAAGATTGCCTGAACCGAGATGAGCTAGAAGTATCAGAGCTGATTGATTCAGGTGAAGATGACAATTTATTTTCTTGTAACTCAGAAATTTGGTCTGATGGATAGGAAGATACACTTTCCTTGCCGTCATTTTCCTTATCGATATGATCATCTGGGGTACTGCAGGCCAAGGGAAGGGGGGTAACATCCCTACCATCAAAAAAAATTCTGTAAGTTCTACCATTGATTTCTTGTCTTGCCATTGCCAATAATTCTTTTTAGTACACAGACTTATGTAAGTACTTATTTTCTTATAAGTATTCCAATTTCATTTCAAAAAGGATACAAGTCATGAATGTCAAATTCTATGAACTTCTTTATTTCTGGATAATTCGCAAGGGCACATCCCGTACAGCTCTGAAAGTTTTAAGCATTACAGTCACATTTAACATTACAATAGTATAAGATACATTCTTGACATGCTTAGAAGTACTCAATTACATGCGATTAAATTAAAATAATATTTTTTTAAATATTGTCATTTCACACAATTAGACAACAGCAGTAGAGTGCACTATTTACCAAATACAAAATTAACTTTGAGAAATAATAAACAATGAAATATTACACCAACACAACCAAGATTCTCTACTGGCTAATTTAATTTCAATGTAAAGTATCTCAAGTTAATAATTGGTAGCCAGAACTACATTAAAACTATATCTTTAGTTAATCACTTTTAAAAAACTTCATTTATGAATGTCAATGGTCACGAAAAAATCGATTTAATAAAGGCGTTTGCCATGTAACTTCCATTTAATCACGCATATGAACTCACCTCAATGCTTGCTCTTGCTATACGCTCCCCTTCTGAATAACCAAAGCAAATTGCTAATAATGTAAATATACGAAAACACATGCAATTCATAGTTAAAGAGCTTTATAAAGAACTACCGACACTGTGGGCAATCTACTTCTGAATGCCGTCATCTTTTTTTATACACTATAGTACTATTATCCGATGCAGCATCCATGGGACAGGACCAACAAGACTATCCGAGACTACCTACGCAAAAGTATTGCGAACTGGACACATGAATCAAAAACTAAAGCCGTAGAGAGTGTTTGCCACAAGTTTCCAAAAAAACATGAAAACGAAACAATAAAACTTCAACACCGAACATTTCTGAGTAAATTTAAATGGCTTCTGCCAATGAATTGCCAACTATAACAAAAATATTGTCGTTTTCAACTATTAAGGAACCCAAAAATGCAATCGGCATCTCTGCATCATCTCCCTGAGTGACTGCTTCCAACATCGTTCGCATTACCAGTGCATGACAGTGCATACTGCATTCGCTGCAATCAGCTGTCCAGCAGACGCACAGCAACACAAGTTGCAGATTGGTTGCAGATGATTGCACCTTGCGCCACCTTGCCGAAAAGCGCGGCAATTCGATTAAAATGAATACGAGCGGCAACGTGCAACACGTCATCAACTCCACAAAATAAATTCTACTCACATCCACCGTTTTTAAACAACAGATATAACACAGAAGATGCTAATTACACAATAATAAAAAATATAATTAACGTGCGTAACAAAAATATACATTTGGCTAGAAAATAAAAATTGTTTCGGACTTGCGCCATAAAATGACTCCCCTCCCGTAATTCATGCTGATAAATCTAAAAATACGATTTGTACTATACTTTGAGTTCAATATCAAAATTAGTGGTGCTAAAACAGCATGTACTTTCACGCGAAAAGTACTCGCATTTTCGAAAAGTACTCGCATTGTACATGAAAAATCTACCTTTATGTAACTGATTTCATTAACGGAAAAAATATCCATCTTCATAGTTAGGATGACGCCGAATCTGAATTTTAAACGAAAATAAGATCTGCACGACTCTTTTAAACGTCCTTCACACTAACCAACAATAAAATTTAATAAAAACGAGTGAGATTTTTTTTGCTGTTGAAATTTTTTTAAATGTCCCAGAGGCTTTATGTAAAGTGCCTCCAGAAATAAAATATCGGTTTCAAATTCAAGGGGCGTGAAATTTGCCAAATCGATTGGGGAAATAATTTTGGAGAAAATCAGCTGAACGGTTTAGCCGCTAGCGTAGTTCAGTCAGATGGGCGTTGTGACGGACGGCGGCGTCGGACGGACAGATAGACGTTTTGACGACATTCCATTCTTCAGTATCAAGGACCCACAAAACATGGATTCTGGCTACACCGGGTTTTTAATAAGAGTTTTTGTGACAAAAATTTCACTATTTTTTTCGCGCAACTGCGTAAGGGGTACCGAGAAAGTAACCAATTAAGCTCCAACTAGTACGACTAAAACAATATTTATTTCAGCATATGTTGCAAAAAGTAAAAAATAAATATCAATGCCACGTAAGAATAAATTAATACCTCTACCCCTATGTAATGCAGCCTCAAATTTATTGATCAAATACAAAGCCTTAATAATTATAAACATTAGTGCACTGTGTGGATGGATGCATGTGCGTGCGTGTAGATATAAAGCCCTCGGGCATTTACAAACATATACTATTGAAGATTAAGACTTTTGTAAATGATCTTTCCTTTTCTACAATTATCTTTAAAAATTATCATGTACAAGTTTTTGAAAATGTGTGTAGTTTTCCTTTATTTCTAAGTTAACAATCTGACAAGTATGTAAACAAGATTTTATCTTCAAACAAACTCTCCAAATGTTTTCTTAACATTTTTTTATTGAAAAGAGTAATATTTAGTTTAATATGGTATTGCAAGAGATACGCTTTTTTAACAGCCCTACATCTTATATTGCAGTTGTAGATTTCTTTCCTAATGCAATATATTCCTGAATATTAGAATTTTGAATCATTTCAGATGTATATTTTTCAAAATATTAGTAGTATTCACATAATTTTGAGATATATTGATTAAGATTTTCTTGTGATGATTGAAATGTTAATTGGATATGAGGAGCTATATTATAAAATTTTGTAATCACTACCAATAACAAGAGAAAGCATGTTTTTGTAGTGTCAATAGTTCCTTTTCATTGAGGATCATGCCATTGGATTATGACATAGTGGAAAGATAATATCTTTTCTCTATGGTTATGATCGATCTGTGAACACAAAAAATAAGAAGGGGAAGAAGTTAAAATATAATTAATAATTAGTTCCTAAGAATTGTGAAATATGATAACTACTGGTCTGGATACAGTGAACTTTTGCTGATAAAGAACCACAGTCACTGGTTTCGACCCACAAATTTTATAAATCCAAACAAGATGATTCGGTTGTAGTGAAATCTCCACATCAATTACAGGGAATTTCCAAGTAAATTCCCAGAAAAAATATCTTGCCTTCAGACCATCAATTCCAATAACCTATGGTTTGAAGGAAGAGGATCCCTTGATTTATTTTTGCAGCACTTAAGTGTATGAAAGGTACTAAGGAAACATACCACTGAGGAAATAGTTTCAGCTCATCTATGGCAATTCTGTTGATTCCGAAGATTTTATCAACATAGACTGGGAGACAAAAGCAAGAAAGCAAATTACCATCTGGCTAGGACATCATAAGAGATGCGAAAGGGAGTTTAAAAACACAAGAAAATGAGTGTGATGACAAAGATCAAAAGAAGAATATGGTCCAAAAGTGCAAGAGACATTAAAGGGCCCAACATATTTTGGGAATGTGGAAAATGTAGAAATGAAGTGTGAGGAAAGAACCGACTGGAGATGTATCTGCAAAAATTATTAATAAAACTCTGAACAAAAACAAACAAATAGTATTTTTTGAAGGCTAAATGAAAATGTTGAAATTTTTAATTTGTGTTCTTTGGATATTTTACTGAACTTCTGAAATAATAAAATCAATCATTGCTAAAAAAAAACAATTTTATTTTGGCACATTATTTTAAACATATTTATTTACAATTTGTTAGAGACACAACTTGGGCTGAATTGAAATTTTCAATGTAGAGTAAAAAAGGAAAAGGCTGAAAGCAGGATAAAATTGGTAAAAAGAAAAACTTACCATCGTAATATGAACAATTATTTAAAGTGAATTAACGTTTCATTTCTAGTGTGCAGATGTTTACGACTTCAAACAAATGCATCCAAGACCTAAAATTTGTCAGATTCTGCCAAAAATATGACCCAAGAAAATATTTGTCAGTTGTACTGTTTTTAATGTATTGTTGTATAATGTTGGAGAAGAAGAAGAAGAAGAAGAAGAAAAAGAAGAAAAAGAAGAAAAAGAAGAAGAAAAAGAAAAAAAAGAAAAAGAAGAAGAAGAAAAAGAAGAAGAAAAAGAAAAAGAAGAAAAAGAAAAAGAAGAAAAAGAAAAAGAAGAAAAAGAAGAAAAAGAAGAAGAAGAAGTTTACAAAACATCCCCAAATTTTTGGTTTTCTGTTATTTGTTTATATGTCATTCATCTGAATTTCTTCACATAAAAACCCTGGTATTTGTAAATCTTACAATTAAAATTAAAAGGAAAATAAAAGGACAAGAGGTACGGAACTAAAATTCAGAAAAGTAGTCCCAAACAGGGTAATAGAACATTATATATATTTTCACTCAAATTGATAGGAACAGATAAAATACCACATAAAATTTCATAAACAATTTTGATGTCACCTGGATTCACCAAAATTCTTCCAGGAATGCAACAAACTTCAAAGATTGGAGACTACTAAGTAACAGCCTTTGTACACCCATCAGAGATAGATTTTTTTATTGGGGTGGATATTAGCATATCAGATCCTCTATTAAGAATTACTAACCCAATTATTCAACAAATGGGATGAAGAGATCTAAAGTGGCAAGTAAATACTATGTGTGTAAAATGAAAAGGAAAGGTGATAACTCCCGTTTGGAGAGAAAAAGCAGAAATTCAATTTCAAGAATGCCGCAATGTTTAATTTCAATAATGTTTAAAAAAATTCACAACTTTTGCAGATGTCTCTCACTGTGGGTTCACAATAACCAAAGATGTTCACTCTAACACTATGTGCTTCTCTAAATGAAGTATTTAAAGTTAAAGTAATATGCATATATGTATATACATATGCATAGTATGTACATTAAACATACTATGTCTTCTTTTTACCATTGCATGGTGAGTTATTATTAGATTCTTCATTAAACTGAATATTAATTAACAAACCACTGAATTGTCAATTTTGTTGTAAATAAAAGAAATTATCATTTGGAATGTAATATTTCCTTGTGCAAGCCAGACAACATGA